GATAGTACAACAATAGCTGAAGATATAAACAGGATATCTTTATTACTTAGAAAACATTTATTAACTACACAAATTCAAGAACTCCAAGTACATTCGGCTATCCACCAGACACAAGCTGAATCCCAAGCTCAACAAGTATGATTTAATAATTTATCTTTTTATATAAACATAAATGCACCCCTTATGATAAAACTATCCAAACAAATAAAAGTTTGAAAAATATAAAATGGTACCTATATTTGAAATAAGTTTATTATTTATGTAATATTAAAAAGTATAATTAAAATTATTTATTAAACAATTTGACAAATATGGCATTACAAGAAATAGTTAAAATATTTTGTGCTATGAAATAACATTTCGAATAAATTATTTTTTAAAAAATCAGATTACCAATCAAGTTATTACTTAGAAAGAACCAGGATTCTTTCTAAAAAATAATTTCAAGAGTTATAGTAGCATTGTCAAACATATTAACAGTTTGTAGTCCATCATTTTCATTGAACTAAAAAGTTTATGTATATATTTTATTATTTGATCGTTTAGTTTTTAAACATTTTTTTAATTTTTACATTTTAAAATTTAAGAGAAGATAAGAATTTAGTCAATATTTGATAAAGTGGGATGATTATTTTAAATTAAACTGCTAAACAAATTTTATACATTTTTAGATTTTTATTATATCAATAGCTTTATTAATTTTATGTAAAATTAAATTAAATGCTAAAAGTATCTATTATTTAATATAAACTATTAAACTAATAACCTTCTTTATTATATTATGAATGTAGGTAAATACTAATGTAAATTGAACTAAATTATAATTGAAAATTAACTAGACATTATTAATATTTATATACTTAAATTCTGATGACTATTGTTCAAAGCTTGTTTATAAAATACATTTTTATTACATTATAATTTTATTCAATATGATAAACTATGACAAAAAAATTATCACGATGGATTAAAATTGTCCTTTTTTTAAAAGCTGTTGTCTTAAACAATTAAGTGACATTGCCAAAAGTTGTCTTTGGAATTTATAAATTGTGTTTAATAAAAAGAAAAAAAAAGAAGAAAAGTATTCAAAATGTATGTCTTCTTATGTCATCATTTTTATGTATAGCTTTGTTCACTTTTGAGTAGAGATAATTTTCCTTACATAAATTATACTTAAATCATCAAAAAAAAAAACTTATCAAGCTTGTGTTTTATAATTTAAAATATTTTATTTTTTAATTTTATCAAATTTTATTTTTAATTTTAGATATTGGCACAGAAAATGCCTAGAGAAAAAATGAATAATGTAGATGCAACATGTAATGCCATAATGGAAGCATCACAAGCATTAGAGTCTAATATTCAATTATGCTGTGGTCATTGTACTGGAACCGTAAAACTTATTTAAATAATAAAATTATTGTTAACCAAATTTAAAAAAAAAATATTTAAATATTTTATATTATGTTGATGTTTAAAATTAAATTAACTTTTATACACTTTATTATGTTATTTTCTAAATAGGCTATGGAATAAATAAACTATTTTTATGGCATGACTAGAAAACTAGTTAATATTTGTTATGAACTTTGTGAATATGACTAAGAATAATTAAAAGATTAAAATATGGTTTATTTTGAAATGAAAAGTTGAAAAAATTCTAAAGTTTACTTAAAAACTATATTTTAAGAAATTTTAGGAGCACCATTATGTTACCATGAAAATGAGAAAATTTATCATAATCAATTTAATCAAAAACGAATAATTGTAAACACTTGAAATCTTAATCAAATATTTATACTAGCACATTCTAGACATGACATAATTTTTATATTTTGATTCCCTTTGTACTATTTATAGATGTTCAAAGTTGTTATTTTTATATTGCAATTAAAAAAAAAAAATTAATATATGTATTGTTTTTATTAAATGTTATGTTGGTATAAACCAATGAATAATACCATTTAATTGTGGACAAAAATTTTGAATGAAAAAAATTGGTGTACTACATCTCTGAAGTACAAATAAAGTGTATAACAAAGGAATTAAAATTAAAGATAATTTTAAAACAAAATTTTAAATAGAATTGAATTATGTAATGATAGTAATGATAAAATAATGATGAATAGTAAATTGTAAAGTTTATCCAAAGGTGTGAATAAAAATGTTATAAAAAATAGCATTTACTATAAATACTTCAATACTTAAAGTTTTATACAAAGTATAAACTTATTTCAGTATGTATATCAATTATCAATGCTTTATATATTGTTTATAATACTAAAATAGTATACAATATGAGTTGAGTAAAAATTGAACACAGCATTTATCACAGATTATAAAAAAAAAAAGAAAAATATATCTATTAAAACAGTAAATAAAAACATAATTATATGTTTAAAAGTTCGAGTAGTTCTGATACATTTTTTGAAATGTTATATTTATTAAATATTGATGAACTGTAAACCTGAAAATTATATATTTATATAGAATGTTACTTTTGGTTATGTAAAATGTAAGTATATACAATAATAAGTACCTTAATTGTTGGAAGTCGTATATTGTCAGACTTGTATTCGTGTTCGTCAACATACAATGATTGTAAATATATCCATACAAAATCAGAATGTTTTTCATACAGTTTTCTATAGAACTCTTTAGACTTGTTCTATTATAAATTTACAATATTTACAATATTTAGTAATTACATATTAAAAATAATATACATTAAATACCTGTAACTCAATTGGCTGGTCTTTTTCTAAAAAATGTACAACAGAATTGAACACATCATACATATCTTTCTCTAAAAAATTTAAATTTAAGACAAAATCTGCTAAACCACTCAATATAGTAAATTGCATTTTATATTTATGACTTGTAAAGTAAACACTTCCTTTTAAAACATTTTTACTTTCCTTTGCACTAATCGCCAAGCGTTCTATTATAGTTGGCAAAACTTGTCTAGATATAACAAAAAAAAAAACATATTTTAGTATTTATTTAGTATTTTTTTTCTTTCAAACCTACTTGAGTGAACGGGAACGAATAAAATCTTTAGCAGTGGATGCCATTGTGGTCAACACGTTAAATGCTTCACGAAATACTAAATCATCAGTACTGCTATTGAATTTAGTACACAGTGGTGACCATATTTTATGTACCATTGGCAATAACTGATTTTCATAGCTTGATATTACGTTTAAACCTTCATTAAGAATCTATGAGAAAGATAATATGCACTATTTCAAAAAATCTATGAATATAATAATGAATAAAATACTTGTAATGGAAGAGAACTATGTTTTGATGGTAAATAATGCAATACACGTTTCATTATAGAGAGGACCATTTGTATATATGGTGGTAATGGTTTTTTGTTATCTTCATCATCTTCATCAATGTTTTCATTGTTTTCACTGAAATTAAATTCTTTAAGTCAATTTTAAAAGCTATTATAGAACAATTAAGTAAATTATATCACGGTGTGTTGCTATTGAAGTTGTTTTCCCAAAATTCATCTTCTAAATTATTTTCTGAATCTAAAGTCATCATTTTGTGGTATTGTAAAATATTTTCAATTACACAGTTACTTGAAGATTTTGATTTATCTACATTATCAGTTATTGGTGTACAATTTTGTTCCCGTTTTCTCATACACATTATAAATATATGAAACACTTTCATAAACGAGTGCATGTTTTCTGTACAATGAACATCACAACTCTGAACAAGAACCTATAATATATAGAATTTAATAAACATTTATTTATGCATATACTTTTTTCAACTTACTTCAGTAACCATTGTGTGGAAAGATTGAAGTAAATCATCACTGTTGTTAAGATTCATCACCACTTTTAAAGCATTTAATACTTCTGGGTGTTTACTAAGTGACCATAATTTGTTAGTGAAGTGATGAGATAAATAATCAGAATTTTTTACAACAAGATCAATTGGATCACTATATCCACCAGAGCAGGCAAGTAATGATATTGCTGCTTGACCTAAAGTATGGACTTAGTGTAAATAATCTACTGGATTTATGAAGTATCAAAATATTACCAGCTAAAGAAATAGGGCCATGTTCTGAGCCAACACGTTCTAGTATTGGATATAAACAATGAATTAGACATAAGTGTTGTTGAGCCACAGGGAGTGATGAAACTAATTTAGATAGTCCTTCAGTCATAAGACAAATTTGTACTACATTTTTTTGTGCATCAGCTATATTTGTTGTTGAATTATTTTCAATACTGGTAGGCAAATACCAAACGTCACATTCCAAGTACAGATCTATTACATCCCTCACTAAATTATAATGGCATTCTCCACTGTCTAAACCAAATAAATAATTACCAAAGTTAAAATAAAATGATAAAATATGTTATAGATTCCTACTTTCCGATAAAATCATATTCATTAAAAGTGTTATCTCTCTTCGATACATTGTTTTTGTTTCAAATAAATCCATTAAATATCGACCAATAAAATTACAGTCTCCATATGACCCAATAAATTTACAAATATATTGTATCTTATATAATGCTGAAGTATCATTAAAATGTATTAATTGTTTCCAAGGTACATTTATTGACATTTCAGCATTAAATGTTTGTATGGAATTTAAATCTAAATAATAAAAAAAAAAAACCACACAATTATCAATTATTGTTAAAAAAAATCATATCAAGCATTTAAAATAAAACAAATATTCACATGGTTCATTATTAACAGTAATTGCATTTTAACAAAAACTGTTTTATGGGATAAAAATAATTATCATTACCATTAATCACTGTAACTTATAAATTAATACATTTTAATAGGGCAGGCATATTAAATATCCACCCAGAATTGTATTAAACCATTGATTATAAATATATTTTACAATGATTAAACACAATAAATTTTAGTAGATAGAAATTTAAAAATAATTGTAACTATGAAAATTAAAAATTATTTTAAATTCTAATATGACATATTTATTTAAAATATACTGAAATTATATTTAAGGAACTATAAATATTTTTATTAATAATTTATGATTAAAATTAAAAAACACATTTTAATTACCTCTAATTGACGACTCTTCCAATAAGGTAATTGTTTTATATTCCAGTTCTAATATTTGAATTAAAACTGTTGTTAAACGATCTAGATGAGCATATGAATTGAGTACTCGTGATAAATGAGCCTTTCCAAAAAGTTTTATATACCCGGACAATAAAGATAATTCAGTTTTTTGTTTAATATAATCTAAAAAAAGAAAAGAAACAATAGTAAACTATAAACATTGTTTTGGTAAATATCTTACTTGATATTCTAATAAACCGCGGGATTCTAGATAATAAAACATAGAAACTTTCCTCTAATAATTCTAAAAGAGATTTCTCATTTTGTCCATCAAATATTTTATGTAATTTATCAACAGACTCATTAGCTAGTTTTTCAACTTCTGGCTGTTCATCATCAGATAAAACAATTAATGTTTCAATTAAACTTGTGATTGAAGATTTCATAGAACTAACAAAATACATAAAATAAACAATAATACAATATCATATAAATTAATAAAAATATCTTTGAAATTTTAATTTATAAACTATAAACATCTTCGACTAGGAAAAGTTAATGATTTTTGTTAATTTTTTTTTAATGTATTAAGTATTTAAATATTTTTTAAGCATAAATTAAAATTTTGTTCATACTATTTTATTTGATCAACAGTACAAGAAATAAAAACTGAGTATCAAAATTTATAAAAATACACAACAATAATTTACTAAAATGTCAATGATGAATATATAGATTATATTTTTTATTATATATATGCTTACCTTGTGCATTTACTCAATAACACATCACAAGAAATAACTAATTGAAGTCTAACTCTCCAGTGTTGGTGCTCTCTTGTTTTAGTCATATGTGTGGCCACTAGATTAAAATTTGTACGGTTTTCTTGAATCCAATCATTTAATTTTTTTTTGTCATCGTTTCTATCATTACAAAGTGATTTTTCTAAATATGGATTACAATCTTCAATAACATGTTCATCACAAATTATTAGAGAAGTAATTGTGCTCCATAAATTTAAGGCAGCCTTAAAAATATTTACAATAAATACAAACTATCAAGAGAAGTTAACTTGCAGTTATTATCTTACCACTGTAATAGAATGATGCTGAATATCTGTAGCATTAACTATGATACTACAAACAGATAAAACACCTGGTACAAATTTAATTAACTTTTGAATAATTTTAAGACAAATATTAGAATCAATGTTTTTATTCCAAATCGATAATAGTATTTCAATGCATTTTAAGGTTTCCACTCTATAAAATAAAAAATAATTAGTAACTTAGTTATTAAAAAATTCACAAGGTTTAATCAAAAAATTAAAAAAAAATTACATTTAAAATCAAAATTAAAGTTTTAATTAAATTGATAGTAAAAATAAAAATAAGTATAAAAGTATGAGAACTTTTATTTATTTTAATAGTATTAAAAAAAAATATAAATTAAAATTTCAGAAATAATTTAAATGTTATTTGCATTTATTAATATTTATATAAATAAATACATAAATGTTTGTTAAAAGATAGCATGTATGTATTAAACAGGTGATTCAAAATTTATGTTATACTCATTAAATCATTTATAAAAGAAAAAAATATTTGGCATAGAAGTTTTTTTTTATTTAATAATTAAAAATGATAATTAATTTTAATATTTATTTATTTTTTTACAATACTTAAAGGGGGTTATAGGGTATTTTAAGAGATTCAAATTGAAACCTAGGCTTTTTTTGCAAACATAACGAGAAGAATTTTTTTTTTAAATATCTCAATAAAAAAGAATTTTAAATTGGATAAGTAGCTTATGAGTTATAAGTATTTAAAGAATAGATGAGCAGAGAAATAGTCCAACATTTTGCAGAGTATCCTCGTACCACTCCACATTGTACATCTGAATTGTATTAAAAAACGAATAAATAATTTAAATATTATTCTTTACTATGAATAATTTCTATGATAAATGGCTATAACATAAATTCTGAACCACTCTGTATATGATAATATATCATCTATGGACTCAATTTTTTTAAGCAATCATATGAATGTATTTAGTAGATAACTATTTAATATATGTATAATAAAAAATACCTTAAAATATTCATTTTTTCTTTTTTTATAACTATTGTACAAATATATATCAAATATCCAACATGCTTGCAATCAACTTCATTATACATTTGATTTAATACAGCAATATCAGCTTTTTCAACCAATAACTTAAGAGCGATAATGATTGACAATTTGATATCTTCACTCAAATTCAGTGCTGTAATACAATTATTTACTATGATCAATAAACAAATAAATAAACATATTTAAAAAGCAAAGGTTCATACAAACCTATATCTGGTTTTTTTTCTTGAGACAACTTTTCGACCAACATTTTATAAATTCTCATAAATGTAGGCCATAAACTAATAGATGTTTTTTTCAACAGAGTCGTCAGCACATCCAACACATTTATCGTACAATTTGATCTGGAAAACAAATTTGTGAGTAATTATAGTATTGAAACAGATGTAAACAGAATACAATTATACATACTTGTTGGCTTTTAAATGAATTTCCAACGGGATTAGTACATACGGCTGTAATTGCGTTAGAGTATACTCTGGAACCATTTCCAGTGCATTTTTTAAGAGTTTGGAGTTAACATCATTGGGTTCAGTAATGAAGGCATCACAGGCTGGTTTTAATATGCTGAATGATTTTTGGAATTGTGCCTTTTCAGAAAACATTGTGTCGGTAAGTCTATCCATTTGACGATGTGAAGCACCATACACTAACCAGGATAAAAATGTATACAAATATAATAATATACCATTGGCATGATAGATGTCCGAAATCGACGACTACAATGCCATAATAATATTTTACTTACCCACTACTACAGATAGACACGACTTTGACAACAAGAATGAGAATTACAACACAAATTAAGCCTAAGGAATAACGTAATGATGGTGGTTTTCAGCGGTTTGATTTGAATTAAATGATAATATTAGGATGCCTAATATTCCAACACTAAGTGTTATCATAGTATGGTTAAATGAGTGATAGATAAAAGATAAAACAATCGAAATATTTTGGTTATACAAATTCGATTATTAAAATAATCGATATCTTGTTAATTTTTAAGACAAACAATTTCGATGTAGATACTAGATGATGTGTATTGTGTTTAATTATAGGCTTATAGGCTATAGCTTAAAATATCAGAAATCAATTGGAAGAATAGTTATTTTTTAGATGAAAATTCAATGTCAAAAAATGTTTACTTTGAATGATCATACATAGTTATGAGGAATTTTATAGGTATTTAAATTTAAATTTTGGATATGAAAAAACATTTTTTATGAATTCCTAATTACAACATAATTTTTAAATTTTTACAATTTCGATGAATTTCGTTCGCATTCTCATTTTAAATGCTTATAAAAAAATATTGTGGTTAAATAATATTTTCAATAGGTATTTTATAATTGACAAGTAAAAAACTTAAATATATGAAACTTTGTATTCATTTTTTTAATTTTTTGACTCAGTAAAAATTGATCAATATTTGACATTTATAGAAAAAAATCTAAAATTGTTTGTCCCTATGAATAACACAAAAAAATTAAAAATATTTAAAAAATTTAAAAATCTTATTTTTCCCTTAATTATTTGATTTTTTACCGATTATTTTTAAAAATATTTTAATTTAAATCTCTCAAAAGTACAAACTAGATCCAAATTTCTGTTAGTAGTTGCTCTCAAAGTAGAATATTGAAGCAATTGTTTAACCATTTATTGGGTATACTACGTCATAGACAAAAAAAAAAAAAAAATACATATTATAAAATAAATATAGATTTTGATTTCGTCTAAATGAAATAACTTGACATAATTATTAATGGTAGATATTTTTTCTCGCTTCAAACAAAAAATTATCTAAATTATAAAAAATATTTTTAAATCCAAATTTGATGTAACAGTAAAATACGTAAGTACATTTTAATATTATCAATAAATAGTAATAACTTTATAGAAATATCAAATATCTAAGAAAGTTCATAAATGGATATAAAAAAATACAGTAGTCCTATAGGTTCGAACGTAATATAAAATCATCTAATATGATATGACAAAAAATTCAACAGCTTGAAAATAGTTCATCAGTTACAAGTTAATCCAATTTAAAAAATAAGCAATTGAATTCAAAAATTAAATTTATATAAAATAGTAAAATAATATGATGATGATTAACTTCATAAAATGCTTTCTATAAATGTATATACATAGTATTGGCTTAGAGATGATTATAATAAGCTTGTAAAATACAATTATTAAATTAATTTGTATTTAAATCAATTCAGTTGAGGTTCAGAATAATTGATGTATACAAGTATATAACTTAATACCTGTAAACAATAAAATAATTATTAACAGTTACAATTTTAAAGAGAATTTGAATATTTTTTCGAATAATAAAAGGCTATTGGGAAAATCTTTCAATACAATAAATTTGAATACAATATTTTTTTTTCTAATCAAAAATGATAATAATATTAATTTTGGCTACTGATTTTCATTAATAATAATGTTATAAAAATTTAAAATAAATATCTTTTTTTTTAATTAATTAATTTTGATGTAATGGAAACGGTGACTTATACGTTTTTAGTGATTTTTTCATATAATTCACAAAAGCTAATTCATTATATTTTAAAATCTGACTATAGTGAGATAAAATTAATTAAAAATGTAATTAGTTAAAAAAAAAAAAAAAAGATAAGATATTTAACATAGTAAAAATTCAAAGCTGTTTAATCAGTTATATGCGTGGTATAATATTGACATTAAAGCTATGGTTACCGAGGAAACGGAATGCATTTGATCGATGGCTTATAGTACTCCGCAGCTTAAATTATTATGTATTTATTTGATACAATTTTCATAAAAATACAATTTAACGACAAAGATATTAAAAATATAAAACAAAAATGGGAAATTCTTGTGCGAGTTGCACAGATTTCTCATTCTCAAAAACAGCTTCAGGATCTGTCCTGGATAGAGTGATATCTCAAGCGTCTAACGAAGACGATTGCTTGTTGTATAAGTAAGCAAATCAAATTATTTATATTAGCATTTTGTATTGTTAAAATATCAAAAGTAAATATTATTACATTTTAAGGTTAGCAGATTATAAAAAAGGGGGAGAACTGATCAACGTGTATAATAATGGTGGCCAGGATGAAGCGGAACAATTTATTGTTGAAAAGTTACCTGGTCTTATGTATAATAACGGTAAAGGTCAAGTGATTAATCGAAATGATTATTTGAGATGGAAATTTCAAAATCGTAAACACGTAAGAGTATTGTCTGATGTTTATTAATTAATAATTATTATATTAACTACTTTAGTACGTACCAGCCATTTTACCGTAGTACAATTATTTGCGTGTCCACACATAATATACAGAAAAATAAAATAATGTTGTGGATACCTGAATATTATTTTCTTTTATTTTGATTCGATTAAGTAGTAATAAACGTTACAATACTATTTAACTTTTTTAAACTCATTTTTTTTATACATTTTAAAATATTTTTTTTTTATCGCTTAAAAATTTTGACTAGTATCTTTTTATAATAATACGTAATAACTAAAATAAGTAATTATAGTCATTTTTGACATACAATATTACTATAATAATGTGTTGTAGCTAGGTATTTAATGTTTAAATAGGTGTTTTTTAGTTTTATGTTGTCACTGTTTTTTCATACCTACATTCATCAACTGTTTTGAAATCATGAAGTTGACTTTTATCAGTTAAATTTATATTTAACTTTAACAGTGTGTGCGTAATGTAAAAATTCGTTTGTTCCATATTTAGGTGGCCATTAATGTCGAGGAAAAGCCGGGTCCGCATGATCCGTTGACAAGGTGGGTGGACCACGTGGCGTGTTGGCAAATGCAATACAGAGGATCATTAGGCGAAAGTCTGTTGCACGTATTAATCATATGCGATACAGTGATACACACTCGGCTATCTCGATTACTTCTCAAACACTATCCGATGTTAAGTCAAGATGTCGTGGAAGGCGAAGAATATCTCGGTACGTATTGGAGTAGTAGACGTTGTTGAAACACGACATACATGTAGGTACTATTGTATATTATTTCATCTTGCACTTATTCGTCCTATTCCTGACAGTGTTAGCATATTTTATAAAGGATATCAATGATGAAGTTTACTTGTTAAGTGTATAAATTTAAATTTAGTTGCAATAGAGTTCTTGTATTTTTTATATTGTTATTTTTTAAACAGTTTAATTAGTTCGTGTCTTAATTTTTATAACTATATATAGGTGCTAGTGCGCTACATTTGTCAATTGCTTATAATAACAACGATTTAATCCAAGATTTGGTTGATGCCGGAGCAAATATTTGTCAAAGAGCTATAGGTATAATATTTATATTATAATTATCTATAGATACTAATAAATCTAAGCTTAAAATTGTAATATAATGGACATAATATATATCAATTGGCTTTACACAACATTTTAGGGAGTTTTTTCTTACCACGCGATCAGCAGAATAAAGAAATTAATAACAAACACACGGATTACGAGGGTCTAGCGTATCTTGGTGAGCTTCCATTAGCGTGGGCCGCTTGTTGTGGTAATCAAACAGTATATAATTTGTTAATTGATGCTGGAGCCAATCCTGATGCCCAAGACTCTTTTGGAAATATGATTCTTCACATGGTGGTTGTTTGTGATAAATTAGTAAGTAATTAAACATTATTTAGCTGAAAATCGAACCACATCTAAGCAGGTACAATATAAATATGTTATGATGATAATATTTTAAAAGAATAACTGTTTGTCATAATTTTTTTTTTTTTTTTTTGAACAAAATTCATATTTTAATAACAAATTACGTTCACATATACCATGTGTATTTTTGTATTTTTTTTTTTAAATTTATATTTAACAACTATACGTGAAACCTATTATCTGAGTTGAGTGAATTTGCCCGAAAATAAATGGACGACAAATGTAAGCAACGTAAACACGGTTAAGTAATTGATTTGGACAATTTTTTTTTTTAAGTTACTGTAAAAACCAGACAGATAGCTGATGCAATATTTCTATTTAACTGTTTAATTATTTTCTGGAGACAGAAAAACACAGCAATCTACGTTAATTGCACAATTAAGACCAATTATTTATTGATATATCTACTATTGACACTATGTTCATTGAAAAGATTAGATTATCGAATTACCAATAATAATACAAATAATTTAAAATACTTATCTTTAGAAATAAAGGTTTTACAAAGTCTCCGCTCAAAATATCTTTTTTGTATGCAATACTTTGTAATTTTATTTAAATTCAACACATAGCTACAGCTATGACTTGCGTGTTAAAATGGCGCGATCAGGTACAATCAAAAAAACTAAAAACTATACAGCAGAGTGATAAATTACAGATTTTCTTTGAATAATTAAGTAAACAGTTAATATACACAGTATTATTATAGCGGTTATTTACTATTATTTTTTATTCGATTTTGGCAGTTAATGTCATCATACCAGCTAAGTACTGAGCTTTTTAACAAAATTACAAACTATAACTTTTATTATAATATCCATTTTGTTTAATTTTTATATTTCATTGATAATATTACATTAATTAGAGTAATCAGAAGAAAATGATTAAATAATGAAAAATGCCCTCAAAAAAATTTAAAACCAATAAATAGATAATATTTTCCTAATTGATATTCATTTTTAAATTGATTCACGTTCATATAAAATATAAACTATAAAAAAGTATAGTGTAATTAGTTAAAGCTAATAAAAAAAAAAATATACAAATATTTATACAATAAGTACATATTTAAAAAATGTATCTAAATTATTTTAACTGTAAAATTTAAAATAAAACACAAAAAAAAAATATAATTTTGACTAGTAATGGACATTAATTTAAAATTACTTGAATGTATAATAAATGT